AATCTAGTTTCAACATATGAGAAAAAATATGTACCATTTGTCTCTGTGAGCCTGGCTTACTTCACTTAATATGATTTGTTCTGTTTGTCCATTTTCCTGCAAATGATGTAATAATATAAGTAAAATCCCATTGTGTGTAGGTACCACATTTTCTTGATTCACTCATCTGTTGTAGGGCATCCGGTGTTTCCGCGCTTGGCCATTGTGAGTAGTGCAGCAGTGAACCAGGATGTGCAAGTGTCTGCCGTGTCCTGGCCTGTAATGCTCTGGGTGGATCCCAGGAGTGGTGCGGCTGGGTGATAGGGTAGTTCCATGTTTAGTATTTTGAGGAATCTCCAAACAGCCTTCCAAGAGTATTTGTTCTAGTTTACATTCCCACCGACAGTGTAATATGGTTCTTTTTCCCCTACATCTCTGCCGGCATTTGTTATTGTTTGAATTATCAATGCTGGGCGGAGCTTGTTGGGGTGAGATACAATCTCAGTGTTGTGATTTGCATTTCCTTTATGGCCACAGATGTTGAGCATTTCCTCATGTGTTTCTTGGCCATTCTTATTTCTTCTGAGAAGTCTTTAACTTTTTTGTCCATTTATTGATTTGTTTATTAATTTTGGAAGAACGGGGCTGGGAAGGTGGCTCAGTGGTAGAGCGCTTGCCTTGCATGCATGAGGCCCTGGGTTCAATTCCTCAGCACCACATAAGCAAAAAGAAAAAAGCCGGAAGTGGCGCTGTAGCTCAAGTGGTAGAGCGCTAGCCTTGAGCTGAAGAGCTGAGGGACAGCACCGAGGCCCAGAGTTCAGGCCCCATGACTGGACCCCCACCCCCCAAAGAATAAAAATAAAAATAATTTTGGAGGGTTAGTTTCTTGAGCTTCCTTGTATTTTGAGGGTATTAGTTCTCTTTTCTTTTTTTTTGGTCGGTCGTGGGACTTGAACTCAGGCCTGGGTGTTGTCCTTGAGCATTTGTGCTCAAGGATAGTGCTCTATCACTTTGAGCCACAGCTCCACTTCTGGTTTTGGGGTGGTTCATTAGAGATAAGAGTCTCACAGACTTTCCTGCTTAGGCTTTCTTCAAACCATGATCCTCAGGTCTCAGTCTCCTGAGTAGCTAGGATTACAGGTGTGAGCTACCAGTGCCCAGTTCTCTCCCCGCCCCTCTCTTTCCTCTCTCTCTCTCTCTCTCTCTCTCTCTCTCTCTCTGTGTTTTAAATTTTGTTCTGGGCCTGGGGCTTGAACTCATGGCCTGGGAACTGTCCCTGAGCTTTTGTGCTAAAGGCTATATTCTACCACTTAAACCACAGCTCCTCTTCTAGTTTTTTTGGTATTTACTTGGAGATAACAAATTTCAAGGTCTTTTCTGCTTAGACTCGTGTTGAACCAGGATCCTCAGATTTCAGCCTCCTGAATAGCTAGGAATACTGGCTTAAGCCACCATGTAACTGTTCTTTGCTATGTAGAAACTTTTTAGTTTGAGTCCCATTTATGTAGTCTCTCTCCTTAACTCTGTGCCCTGGACTCTTAAAAAAGTTCCTGCCTATGCCAATAAGTTCTAATGCTTCTCCTACTTCATCTTGCAGGAGTTCCCAAGTTTCAGGTTTGATGTTGAGGTCCTTGATGCACTTTGAGTTGATATTAGTGCATGGTGACAAATAGGGATCCAATGTTAGTTTTCTACAGGTGGATGTCCACTTTTTCCAACTCTATTGAGGACGCTGTCTTTTTTCCATTGTATATGTTTGGCTACTTTGTCAGATATCATGTGATTGTAAGTATACGGGTTTATTTCTGGGTCTTCTAATCTACTCGATTGGTCTTTGGGCCAGTTTTTATGCCAGTACCAAGATGTTTTTGTTATATAGCTCTGTAGTAATGTTTGAGGTCTGGAATTGTGAAACCTCTAGTATTACTTATTTTGCCTAAAATTGCTTTGGCTGTTTGAGAACTTTTGTAGTTCCATATGAATTTTTGTTTTTTTTTTCCTCTATCTTGGCATTTTGATGGAGATTATGTTGAACTTGAGGATTGTCTTTGGCCATATTTATATTAATTCTACCTATCCATGTACATGGGAGGTCTTTCCATTTCTTTGTGTCTTCTTTGATTTATTACAGAGAACATTTTATTTTCATTAAAATGCAGTAAAATGTGCTCTTTTTCAATGTAGAATTCTATGACTTATCCCAAATGAAAAAAGCATGTGATTGTCATAATCAGAATTTAAAGAAGTTCCTTTACCCCACCCCTGAGCTTTCCATGTCTCTCGTTTTGTTGGTTATGGGGCGTGGACTTGGGGCCTGGACACTGTCCCTGAGCTTCTTTTGCTCAAGGTTAGCACTTTACCACTTAAGGCACAGCACCACTTCTGGCCTTTTCTGTTTATTTGGTACTAAGGAATTGAACCTAGGGCTTCATGCATGCTAGGCAAGCACTTTACCATTAAGCCACATTCCAGCCCCATCACAAGACATCATGAGGATGTCAGGTATTGGTGGCCTGAGCTTCTGATGGCCATTTATTCTGTTGCTTTGCAATTTTTCCATTCAATTTATCTGTATAACATGCTGGGTATGAGGCATGATTGTTCTGATTAGAAGATGATGAAGGAGGGAGACACCCAAGGAAAGCAAGTTAGACAGGAATTACACGTCACAGTGTTCTACTGCATCTGTGGGACTAGGTCATGTGTCTGTAGCTATATGCCAGGATGCCAGGCACAAGATGACTCGGTGTGTGTGTGTGTGTGTGTGTGTGTGTGTGTGTGTGTGTGTGTAAACGTACACACTGGGGCTTAAACTCAGGGTCTCACAATCTTGCTCAACTTTTTTGTTCAAGACTGGCTCTGCCACTTGACTACACCTCCAGTTCTGACTTTTTGCTTGTTAATTGGAGAGAATAGTCTCTTGAATTTGCCCATCCCTGCTGGAGATCCTCAGATCTCAGCCTCCTGAGTAGCTAGGTTTACAGCTGTGAGTCACCAGTGCCCTGCTTTTTTTTTTAAACTGAGATTTGAACTCAAGGCCTCATACTTGCTAGGTAGGAGCACTACCACTTGAGCCATACCCCCAATTCTTTTTGCTTCAATAATTTTTCTAATAGGGTCTTGAGTTTTTGACTGGGTTAGCATGGAGGATGACCCAGCTATTTATGCTTCCATCTAGCTGGGATGACATGCATCTACCACCATACTCAACTTGTTGAAATGGAACGCGGGTCACATAAATTTTTTGCCTAGTTTGACCTTAAACAGTAACCCTCCCAATCTCTGCCTTCTAAGTAGCTAGGATTGCAAGTGTAAACCCCCATGTCTGGCTTGGGCTGAAGGGCTTTCTAACAGGAATAGGGGTAGGGCATGTGACTTTAAGGAGCAAATAATGGGGTTTTATGGATGACCAGTATTCTGCAATATAACTTTTCAATTAAAAAAATCTCTTCTTGCTAGGCACCAGTGGCTCACACCTGTAATCCTAGCTACTCAGGAAGCTGAGATCTAAGGATCGAAGTTCAAAGCCAGCCTGGGCAGGAAGGTCGGTGAGACTCTTATCTCCTGAACCACCAGAAAACTGGAACTGGTGCTATGGCTCAAGTGGTAGAGCATTCACCTTGAGCTGAAGAGCTGAGGGACAGCGCCCAGGCCCAGAGTTCAAGCCCCATGACTGACAAAAAAAAAAAAAAAATCTTTTGGAAAAGGGTGTAAAGGGAAACACACTAACTGGGCTGCTGTAACCATGAATTCTTCCCTGAAAGTGATGTTCAGGCCCTGGTTCCTTCCTCACGGCGAATCCCTGCCTGATCTTGGCTCCTAGTTTCCCCTTTTGGAGTTCTTGTTTATGTGTGTTCCCCTATGGCCACATGTGGCCATATTTTATTTTCTGTGCATTTTTAGAAGCCTGAGGATTGCATTAAGAATAGTCACAGTGCAACCTAAGTTTTTTTTTTTAATTTCATTGGTATTAGAATTTTTCCTGTTCTCTCCCCCTTCCCAAAAAATGATGAACTTAATGTTCTTCAGTTTCCTTGTTCCCTTAGTATCCCTTTTGTATATTCCTCTTCTGCCTCACTTTGAGTTTGAGGCTATCTGAAGTCATAGGTTGAATGGGAAGGAAGCACTTTTTAAAAATTATTCTTTTTTGTTCTGGGTGGGGCTTAGACTCAGGGCCTGGGCATGTCCCTGAGCTCTTTTTTTGCTCAAGACTGGTGCTCTACCATTTTGAGCCACTGCACCACTTCTGGTTTTTTGGTGGTTTATTGGAGATAAGATTCTCAAGAACTTTCCTGCCTAGGTTGTCTTTGAACTGTGATACTCAGGTCTCAGCCTCTACGATTACAGGTGTGAGCCACTAGCGCCCTGCTGAAGCTTGACCAGGCTGTTCATTCATGTCTTAACAGAAGCTTATTTTTTGTTGTGTGGGGATATAGAAGTGACTAGCCACTGCCTACACTGCAGGGAGGCTATATTGTATGCTAACTGAAGTCAGTCAACAGTGCAGTTTTTGAGAAATGAAGACAGGTTGATACATACATAGGTATATTGTGCTTCATTGAGTTGATGCCCCATGTAATGTAACCTGTACTATAACTATCTGTCCTTCTGAGAAAGAAGAAATGTCCCTAATTCACGTGACATGCTATTGGTTGTAAGAAGTGTAGTGGAGTTGACCTACAGAACAACTGTGAATTGGTAAAATGAAGTCAGACACTTTTAGATCTGTTACTTCCTGTCTTTGTGATGGTGGTCAGCTCATTCTTGGCATGTCAGTCTTTAAAATGGGGAACATGAGCTGCTTTTGTGGCATTGCCTGATTTTTTTGTGGTGTGTCATGGTTAGGAAGCCCTTGGGGAACCCATCGCTGCCTCCCTGTCCAGATTCTACCCTCTTCCTTGTATGGAGTGTAATGGTCCATTACAAGAAATACTGATTGAATGGATAGGATGTAGAAGTAAATGAAGCAGGTAATTCCACACATCTTCATTTCTTTTCCCTTTTGTCTTTTTTGTTTTTAGAAAGAAGGAACTTGCAGCCACCAAAAAAGACCGGGTGAATCATTGTCTGACAATATGTGAAAACATAGTGGCACAATCTCTCAGGTAATTGTACTCTGAACTTTCTGTTTTTTTATTTTTTTTTTTGTTTTTCTGGGTCGTGGGGCTTGAACTCTGGGACTGAATGCTGTCCCTCAGCTCTTCAGCTTAAGGCTAGCGATCTACCACTGGTGGTTTATTGGAATAAGAGCCTTGCACTTTCCTGCCCGGGCTGACTTTGAACTGCAGTCCTCAGATGTCAGCTTCCTGAGAAGCTAGGATTAAATGCGTGAGCCATTGGTGCCCAGGGAATAAAAACTGTATGTGTTGCATCTTATGTCACCAGTTGCTTTTAAGAAATACTTTAAAAATGCTGGGTATGTTGTGCACACCTGTAATCCCAGCAGTCATGCTGAAGCAAGATGACATCAAGCTTGAGCCCATAATTGACAGACAGCTGAAAGAGGTCTTATCATAAAGAAATTAACAGAATTATTTATCCATATTTCTGGTTGTATAATAAGACTATTCAGACAGTGTAGTGAATAATATTTTCTTTTTATAATCTTATATACAAGAATTACAGCCAGTATGGTAATTAGATAACATGTTTGTATTTAATTAGCACTCTTTTTTTTTTTTTTGGGGTC